GGGAGTGTAAACTATAGATACAGTCATCATTAAACTCATAAATCCATGTCATTTGTGTGTCATTCACCTCATCCTCATTCATCATCCCTTACATTTTCAGAATGGCCCTCTGATTGAACGTTTTGAAGAACGATTTGCTGCGGCCACCCCGGTAAGAATGAGAGGGCCCTGTCTGGTGAACTGTTTCATGTCGTCATTATCTCATCGTTCATTTCATGCTCATAAGTCATGCCTTGTGGTTACAGAACCGGACAGTGCCGGAGGACTTTGATGAAATTTTTGAGGCAATAAAGGTAAGGCCTGCAGGTCCTCGTTAAGGGAGGGCCGTTCTAGTCATTCTCACGCCTCCCATGTCATCCTTATCCAGCCTGTATGAATGGCAGGCATCCTGCTCTGCTCTCTTCTAATGGGAAGATTATTGATGGGCCCTGAAATAGGGTGAAATAGTAAGAGTGTGTGTGCGTGTGCGTGTGCGAAAGAGGATATGTTGGAGATAAAGTGACAGGCCTTCGTTTCGAGGGAAGTGACACTCTCTCGTTTCATTTAACAATTATTTTTCAAACCCCTCACATGTCCTGGACATTCTTAGATATGCTGGAGATGTGTGTAGTGGAGAGGAAGACACAGGCCTGTCCTCCAGAAGCTCATATTATAACAATGCAGCATTACATAGGATAGGGTAAGGTAGGGCAGGGTAGGGAAGGGTGGCATAGGGTCAAATAGCCTAGCGAAGTGTTGTTTAGTACAACATAGTATAGTGGGGATTCAGACACAGAAACAGGATGTGCGTAGTGTACCAATGGGAATAAAAGACAGGCAAGACTGCTATTCCATCAGTATACCCTGGAAGAGATGTACTGGTTTACAAACAGTATTTATAGAGATTGGCTGATACATAGGCCAATAAATATGTCACCCAGATACAGGATGTTGAGAGGCTTGTAGGGTTTTTTTAATCTTGGCAAATTAGAATCACCAGGAGAGCTTTTAAAGTCTCAGTTACTAGGCTGTACTTCAAACCAGTTAATTCAGACTTTCTAGTCTAGGACGTGAACCAGGTATCAGCATTTCCCCCCGGTGATTTCAGTGTATATCTACATTTGAGAACCACTGAAATAAGAGTATCACATAAGCTGTTCTGGGCAGTGGAATGGGGTGCAAACTGAGTTGGGAAACACTCCCAGGGGTGAAAAAATGTCTTCTAATTTGTGTCCTGAAGGATGGGGGAAGGAGTGAATATTCTAAGAGGAAGAGCATGTACAAAGGCCCTGAGATGGTTCATACTTTTATAACACTCAGTGCTTCTCTGCTCCACGACACTGCCCTGATTGTGTCTATGGGCCTCTCTTCCATCAGATAGCCAGCTCATGGGAGTAGAAACTGGAATGAAACGGAAATGTTCCTTTCTCATCCCTCTATCTCTTGTTCTTCGCACAGTAGCTAAGGTACAGTAGGGGCTCAACTTCTCCTAAATAAAGGAACTCTTGATGCCAAAACATAGAGTGGGTCTGTGAGAATGTGTTTTGGGAGTCAGTCAAGGACATCTCAGACTTCATCAATGACACCCTCAGAATTTCTCTATAGGAGGGGCCTAGGAGTCTATTTGTAGGAGTCTATTTGAACAAAGGACCAAGGGACTAACCTTGAAATAGCAGTTGTACAGCACTTCGGATAGTCTTGTGAAAATATCACTTGTTTATATCAAAGAATGGCTGGGGAGGGGACAGGCCTGATGGAGATATTGAGGGACTCTCCCCCTTAACAACCAAGCTGCTTCTCTTCATCTTCTCCACTGGCCTTGGCAGCTTCCAGTGTCACTCTGCTTACCCTGGAAAATGTCCAAGACCTAAGAAAGGAGCAGGAACTGCCATCAACAGTCACATCTCTCTTTACCTGAAGACATCTGTAGTGCCAGTAACAGAAAGGCAAATAGGCATCTCAAGCCAGCCTTGTTCAGATGGTCATGCATCATGGCAGACTTTTGAGGAACCTTGCCTTCTGGTTAGAGAATATTATGGTGCTGGTCTTCCACCATGTAGGAAGGCTACTCTGGCTCTGTAAAGTGATAGATAAACAAGATGCTGCTTGTTCTGTGGGTCAAGTCCAGCTTCTCTTAGCTGACTGGTCAGAGGTAAGTCACTTACTCTCTTAGTTTCAGTTAGCTTATCTGCAAAATATAGATGGTGAGAGAGACACCTATGCTGCCAATATCACAGGGCTCAGTGAGCATCAGACATGATGATAACGTATTGCAAAGTGTATTGAAAACTATAAAGTGTTTTACAAATGCAAATGGTTAGGTTGTTAAATGATTAGTTATAACAATATTATCGATGGAATATGGCTTATTATGTTACAAATAAAAGGACTAGGTTAACCTGAGGAGGGAAGTTGTGACATACACATTATTCCAGATTCTCAATTACATATGGTCATTAGAATTATTTTTAATTTTATGGGCTAAGAATCCCTTTTTTCTATAAAATTTAATAAAGTAACAATCTATGTTTTAAGCCTCTGCATGTTTTTTTTTGTTTAATCATTGAGTGAAAATCATCTAGCAAGAGGAAAGTCTGTATCTGAAGAAAGTTATTTTAAAAGTTGTGCTTAAGGAGAAAATTAGCCAATAAATTAAATTTACGATGTTAGTAAAAGTGTGCCACAAGTTCAACACATTTGAAATGTAAGTTGTGTGACTTAATTTTAACTTCATTTTAATATTTTCTTACCACTGAAAATAGCTGTAAACCATTTTAAAATCATTGAGTTCCAATTGAGAGAAGCCCAGAAACTTCATTTGACTTAAATAGAATTATTACTTGTACAAATTTGGGAGAGAGTCTAAAGGTTTGGCATAGTTTCACCAAATAATATGAAATATTGGTAACAAGGTAACAAAGTTTTACTAAAGAAGAGCAAGTATTTAGGGTCCAGCCGGATTTGCGAGTGCACCCTGTACACCAGCCACCTCATTACCATCTCCTAACTCTGGACCGTTACCCTATGAGAGGGAATCAAGTTAGTAAAGAGTTGGCAGAAAAGACTGAAATACACCAGGTCCCACCACAACCTGGCCTTTGTCCACTCCACCTGCCTTCTCTCCTGCTCCTCTCTCTGCCCTCAGGCTGGTTACACCAAACTGCTTATACGCCCACCTGCTCAGACTGTTCCAGGCCTCGATTATCCTTTTTGTTCATGTTCTTTCATCTGCCTAGATTGCCCCTCCTCTTCTTGGTTGCCTGGCTAACTGCTCCTCTTCTTCAGGATTCAGATCAGGGCTGTTTCCCTGAGAAACCCTCGTTAAACTTATTTGCCAAAAGCTGGCTGGATCCCTTCTAAGTCTCCCACAGCACCCCATAGAGACCTCTGTCGCCATTCCTGCCACATTAGCTTGAAATTATCTCCTTCTATGGAGTGTCCCCACCAGTCTATAAGTTCCCTGCTGGCTGGAACTTGGTGTTTCTCATTAATATGTTCCTAGCACCTAGCACAGTACCCAGCACCTAACAAACAGTTATTCAGAGTTTAGGGGTAAAAAAAAAAACACTGAGTAGTTGGGAAGGAAATTAATATATAAAGGGCTCTACTTTGTGCCAGGCACCATTATTCAGTCTGAAAGCTTAAAAGGAAAGTGAGTTAGCCAGACTAAGCTTCTTTCAGCCAAAAGAGCCTTTTGTACCTTTTAAACCAGGCTTAGCCAAACTTCAAAGAAAGTCTTGCTATTAATATAGTAAATAAATCTACAAAGGAGATATTATCATCTCTGTCATCCAAGTGAAGAAACGGTAGCTCTGAGGAGTGCCAGAGATTGGAAGTGGTAGGACCCGAACATATGCCCAGGTGTGGGACCTTTTCCAGCCCCCAGAGCTCGCTCACGTGTCAGTAGGAGAGAATGTTCCTTTCTTTGTTGTTAATCATACAAATGCAGTCCTGCCTGATTAGGGCGGAATTCAAGTTCAGGAGTCCTGCGTGGTAGCCAGGCAGACTCTTCCTGATCTTTCTATTGAGTGGTGCTTTTAGGTTCTACCAATAAGAAGCTATCGCTTAAAATCCAAAAAAAGAGCAGAAAGTGGTTTTTTCCCTCAGTAGGCAGGTCTGCACAAAGCATATGATTATATACTTTCAGTTAGGCCATTGGGATCCTGGCCATAGATTCCCTAGTCTCTGAAGCTGGAAGTATATACAGATTAATTTCTAAGTATATCTTAAAGGGTTTCTTCCACTGCTGTGGCTGATATTGCTCAGACACTCTTGTATGATGGATGGGAGTATAGAAGATACAGTATCTGCAGTGATGGATTTCCTAGGAGTGATTAATAGTGTATATAGTAGGCTGTTTTCGATGCCCTTCCCAGTATTAAATGATAGGTTTTCTTTTCCTCCAACTATATTTTTTTATTCTAAAGACGCACTTTCAGGGACTGTCATTTGACTGCATGGTCTATATGCAGAACATTCAAGTCCTTGCTTGGGTGACCTTGAAGTCACCTCTGTGAAGCTCTTTACTCATCTGTAAGAAATGGGGATAGTGATTTCTACCTCTCAGCATCATTATTATTGAGAACATTTACTGAGAAGTGGCCATGAAGTCATGTCTTAATACACTTAGCACATGAAAGGCATTTCATAATTGTGGGTACACTCATTAAGGAAAAGCAAATGATAAGGCTGCCTTCTTGCCTCTATCTCCTGGAGAAGAGAGACAATGCTGGCATTGATGGTAAATACATGTAAAGTGCTATTATTATTGCTTATGGGAGGTGCCTAAGCAAGAATCTCCTTGGCTGAGCCCAGACAAACAGACAGGCACACCGAAGTAAGAAAAGACATCCCAGATGTCTTTAGGATCATAAGGTACAGCGATGACCCAAAGGGCTTGCTGTTTATATAAGCATGTTGAAAAAGTGAAACATTTGTCCCTATAGCATACTGTTTGTAAAGCAGTGCCCAGCAGCATCAACATTCTTTGTGGTTACATCATTATCTTTTTGTCTTTTTAGGCTGTGACCCAATTAGAACTTTTTGGGGACATGTCTACCCCTCCTGATATAACCTCTCCCCCTGTAAGTATGTGCTTTATTCTGAGCTCTGCATGCCCTTCCCTTTCCTCCTTCGGGCTCAAAGCGGCAAGAATATGGGCTTTGGGTAAAACGGACCTGCTGGTGGATTTCAGCTCTGACTCTTTCAAGCTGTGTGATTTGGGCAAATTCACTAGCAATTCGAAACCTCGACTTCCTCTGCCATTTTTTAAAAAGAATTATGATACATGCTTTTGTTTTGAGGAATAAATGAAACCGTGCATCAGCAATTATGTGAGATCACCTGGGTACATGCTATTATGCTGGGCCAAGGAGAGAGACAGGAATAGAGCACATGGCCTAGTTGGGAATATGGGCAAGAAACTCAGCAGGACACAACCACGATGAGGC